GAGCTGAAGCGACGAATTAATCAAGAATTAATTAATGAGTTGACCGAGTAATTAATATTTAGACGTCGGAAATTCGAGCTTGGAGCGTCGAAATTGAGCGTCGGAAGTCGAGTAAAAAATAGTAAAAAGACGAGACGTGAAAATAATAATAAATCAACAATGACCAAAATACCCCTAGCATCGGGATACTGAGTACTAGGGGCATAGCCGAGCTAGCAGCCAGCACTAGGTGCGAGGCATGCTAGCAGCAAACCTCGGCAGCAGCATCTCGCACGCAAGTGCAAGGGCCTGCTGGCCGAGGAAGCTAGCAGCAGCCCGCACCTTACGTGCGAGGCCTGCTAGGCCGAGGCATGGACAACAGCATTAGCATCCCACAAGGGGTACCTTGGAGCCCAAGTGGGATGCCACGTGGCATAAAATAAATGGGAGTTGGAACATTGAGGGGCTGGTTATGGGAGAGGGAGTGGGAAGCAAGTTTGTTTCCCCCTCCTCCAAATGGTCCTCGCCTACTCCTTCTTATGAGCTTGCTACTTGTTGATTTATTACTAGTTTGATTATTAATTTTATTTTAGCTTTAAAATAAAATGGGAAAATCAAATTCCCTATAAATACCCAACTTTGGGTATTGGGAAATGCACTTGAGTAAGAGTTGAAAAAGGCATCACCATTGTGAAAACCTTTGAACTCATTAATTACTCGGGTTTAGGTGTGGCCTTGCTAACTCCAAGGCATTAGACCCTTGTCGGTGGTCGAGTTGTGGGTGGACTTACGTTGGAAGTAGTCGTACTTTCGAGACTTGCTTTCGAAGTAAGAGCCCGTTGAGGTCGGGCGAAGCATGCGTCAAAGGTATAATTACTATCCTAATCATGTCATTAAGTTAATTATGCTTTATTGTTTTATTTATTGCGAGTGCGGTCTTGGTTCGAGTTTCCTTCCGCGGTGAGTTGGACTCACCAAATCCCAACAGCAATATCGAAGCCTCGCTCGTTTATTTTTAAAATCATATTTTTCAAGGTGTTTTTATGCCTTAATTTTTCTGGTTTTAAGTTGCTAATTAGATTAGTAGCTCGGTTTATTAATTTTAATCTCGTATTAGAGCTGACTTCAGCTCTCGAACCCAAATTTTCGCCAAAAAATAGTGAATTTTAGGTGGAAAAGGCATTCTGGAAATGGTTTTACCATTTTACGACTGTGTTTTTAGCTAAAAACGACCAGAAATGCACTTTCCGAGGGATTTTTCGTTTGGACGAAATTTTTTAAGTCTTTCTAACCTTGAAAATTCATTGCATATTTATGGTGGTTATGTAATTTGTTCAATCCTTATTTTATATGCAATTTTAAACCTTTTTAGGCATGATTACTTGGTTGTAATTTGTGTTTGAAAGTTTTGTTTTATTTTTTCACATAATTGCAAACTAATTGCATTAAAGTGTGAAATCTTTGTTTTTGAGGCTTTTAAGAGCAACTTCAATGGCAAGCTAATTGTCAAATTAGCTTGCCATGCAACATAAGCTTTTAAGCTAATTGTCATTTTAGCTCTAATGGCTAGCTGATAGCTTGCTATTTAAATGGACCAAACCTCCATAATTTTTGTTGATAAATTTAATTTTACTTATTCTAATTTGTTTTATTTTAGCAAGTTTTTTTCCAAGCTAATTTGCTTGACAAAGCTAATTTGCTTGTCCTAGATAATTGTATTTCCTAGCTCCAATGGTTAAGCTAGTAGCTAGGGATTATTTTATATTGCAAGAAAGTCCCTAGCTACAACCGTTGGAGTTGCTCTAAGTACTAAAGATTCAATCTTTAATTATGTTAAGTGATTGAAACTTTAAGTTACTTAATTCGATGAATTTTTGTTGAACTTTGTTGATTTAATCATTTTTAAGTTGATTGGAATCATAAAGTTTGAAACTTCTGATAGAAATTTGTTTTATCTTCATATTGGAAGATATAATTTTTCAAGGATTCACAAGTATTAAAGTCGAAATTTTTTATTGAACTTGTGTTCATTTTTCCAACTCTCTTTTATTTTGTCAAAATATCAATATTAATTAAAATCAAATTAAATTAATAGTGAATAAAATTCCCTCTTAACTTGGTTGCACCAAGTTAAACCAATTTTATTAAGGAATGGTTCTTGGAAATAATTTTGATTTTATGCACTTGGATGAATTTATTTAAGTTAGACTTGTTATTTTCATTTTTCCTCAATAAATTAATTTATTCTAAAATTAATTTTAAATTTATTAAAAATGTCACACTAAATCAGGAATTTTTCCCGAGCCATGAGCACACAAATCGAGGCCTAAGAGCCCCAAGCATGCACTCGGCCAGCCGGGGGATGTCGAGGCTGTTGGGCACCTCGAAATGGTGCGTGTGTGCGAGGGAGCTATTATGCGGCACTATGGCAGCAGCATGGTGCGGTAGCTGCTTGCTGCTGTGCGCGCACCATGCTTGCAGCATGGTGCGGTAGCTGCTTGCTGCTGTGCGCGCACCATGCTTGCAGCCTTGTGGCTGTGGGTGAGCCGTGGATGGTGCATGCATTGAGCGTGTATGTGTGTTGCTTGGTACATAATTAAGGGTAATATGCTTAGAAATTGCTTGCGGAGCAATGTGGTGCAATATAATAATAATAATAATAATAATAATAATAATAATAATAACCACAACAACAATAATAATAGAAGTAGTGGTTGTAGCTGTAGTAACAATAATAGTAGTAGTTGTTGTTGTAGTACGTAGGTAGGAATAGTAGTTTTAGGTGTAAGTAGTAGTAAATTAGTAGCAAGAAAATATTGTTAACATTGTTAATAATGATAGTAATAATTATAATAGTAAGATTAGTAGTACGTAGGTAGGAATAGTAGTAGTAGTAGTATATCATGGTAGAAAGTTTAAGAAATTAAATATATATTTTGCATCATGGTAGAAAGTTTAAGAAATTAAATATATATTTTGCTTGGGACTTACGGTCAACAACAACAACAAGGAAGGAGGTGGCAGCAAGGTGGTGGTCAAAGGGCGGCAGTAAGGTGGCAGCGAGGATGTGCTCGTGAGGAGCTCAAGACCACAAAATAAAAGCTAAAAGAAGGTAAATATGGAGGAGAAAGGATAAGAAGAAAGCTTTGGAGGGAGAAGGATGGAGTAAGAATGCTTTACTCCCATGGCCATTTATAGCCTCCAAATGGGACTATTGCAACCATACTCATTTATGGTAGCCCAATAAATGTTGTTGGCCTAATAAATGCAGTTGGCTCAATAAATGCTGCTAACCCAATAAATGCAGCCGGCCTAATAAATATTTTGAATAGGAGTAGTATTAATATAAGGGTTGACTTTGATTACGATAGGAGGAAAATTATTTCTCCTAGAGGTAATGCTTTAGAGGAACTTCGGGTGTGTGATATTATTCATCTCCCTACTGCTTTGTGAGATGTGAATATGATAAATGAGTTGTTTCTCCCATTTAGGAGGGAGCGAATTCTAAGTATTCCTTTAAGTTGTCGACTTCAAGAGGACTTGATTTGTTGGGACCTTGAGAAGGAGGGTGAATATTCGGTATGCTCAGCTTATAGAGCTATTTTTGGGGAGTACAATGTTGAGAATGAAGTTTCTACTTCGGGTAAGACAATTTTGTGGAACCAAATTTTGCATGCTAACACTTTACCACAGGCTAAGTTGTTTGTGTGGAGGGCTTGTAGAGGTGCGCTACCCACGTTGGCTGGGTTGAGTAGGAGGCTGCTAGGAAGAGGCTGCTCACTATGTGAGGTTGAGCATGAGACCGAGCTGCAATATATTCGGGACTGCATTATTTCCAGTATGATTTGGGATGTAAGCGGGTTAGGTGGTGACGTACAGGGAACGTTTTGTAACTTTGGGGACTTAGTTGCAGCGTGTTTAACTCTCTTACAAAGAGCAGAACATGGCTTATTCATGATAGTATGTTGTACAATTTGGAATTCTCAAAGTATGGGGATTTTTGAAGAGGAAGAATGTGATCCGAATTGTTCAATGGAATATGTGAAAAAGCTCATGAGTGAGCTAATGCGTGAAGAAGACAGCAATGTGGGGGTGGGAGGAGGGTGCTGTAGTGCTGGAAGGCTCCAAGGTCGGGTTAGGTAAAGCTTAACGTTGGGAGGGGTTTGTGAGGGGTGGGGGTGTTGTACAAGTGCTATTTTCAAGATGACAGGGGGGGAAGCGCTCTTACTGTTGCTACTATAGGATGATGGAGGATCGCTGGCTGCCTGCTATTGTGGAAGCCAAAGCCATGTTTCTTGGGGTTAAGTTGGATGTAGAGTCGGGTTTTAGAAGGGTGATAGTGGAGACCGATTGCCTTAGTCTTTTTAAATCAATTTCATCACAAGAGAAGGGAAGTAGTAGTATTCAATTGATTTTGAACGATATTCATCATTATAGCAGTTATCTTGATCAGGTTAGGTGGAGTTTGTTCGTCAGGAGGAAAATAAAGTTGCTCATGAGATTGCTCATTATTTCCTGTCTACTGTTGTATCCCTCTTGAATGCTGACCAATTTGATTATTAATGAAAGGAAAATTTGTCAGAAACAACCTTTTAAAGTGTCTTTTTTATTTAAAACAACCTTTTAAAATATTTTTTGCAACTTCAGACCGCATTAAAATTTTTTTTTACAAAAGGCAACCCAATGCAAGTTTTCGGCGTTGACTAAATCTTTTCCGATGTTGACTACGCATGTGCAAGACACGTGCCTCATATATTACTTCATACACCCAATTTTCCTCCAATTAACTCCAATAATAATAATAATAAATAAAAAAAAAAAAAAAAAAAAAAAAAAACTCCAATAAAACCCCCTGCTTCTCTCTCCTTCAATTTTGGAGACAAAACCTCACTAATACTCTCTTCAATTCTTCTCAACTTCCATTAATTAAGAGGTTCCAAGTAGAGTAAGCATTCATTTTTTGTTTAAAGTTTTAAACTTTCTCAATTATCGCTTATCCTCTTTTCTTTTTTTTCTTTTTCTTTTTTTTTTTAATTGCCATTTGCTGCCATGGTCAGATATAAAGGGAAGAATAAAGCTCTGTCATCTTCTAGCAAATTGAGGGTCAATCATTTTTCTTGAGCATTTTCTTCTTTACTTTGTCCGATTCTTCATACAACCTTTGCTTCTCATGCTCTGTTAGTGATAAGTTTGGCCTTCAAAATGCTTAAATCAGTGGCTTACTTGCTCCTTTCTGCAATCAAGACATTAGTGACAACCCTTTGCTAGTCAAGAATGTCTTCATCAAGCTACTCAAACGTGTTGCATCCCCTTTGACCGGTTTCATGTTTGTAGAACTTACAAGCGTAGAATTTCCGTCCTGGGTTTGGGACAAAAAAACCCTAATTTTTCGCAACACCAATTTACAGAAAAAAAAAAGTAAAATAAAAAACAAAAACCACGATACCTGGTTTGAAATTGATGAAATGCTTGGTTGACACCTTGAAATCCCATATTCAAACAGCTTTAGAGGAATTTGTTCTGCAATTTTTTTTCCAATTGAACGACAAAGAGGAAGGAGAGAGAAGCAGGGGTTTTTATTGGAGTTAATTGGAGGAAAATTGGGTGTATTAAGTAATATATGAGGCACGTGTCGTGGGGATACCATATAAAGTTTCATTCTTTTCACTTATTCATATAAAGATCTACCAGATTAAAAAAATTTAGACAAACCAAATCTTATAATGTTATAGCCCTAAAACAAATAAAAAAAAAACATAATTCTAAACCCTAGCTTTCTTTTCTCTCTTCTCTCTCCTAAACCTAGTCTTCATTGTCTTAAAGGGGCTTCCATCGGATTTCACTGGTGGAAAGCCCCAATCTTTACTTTCTTTTAAGCCTTTTGTTTTAGGTTACAATAATGTCTCTCTCGAAAAAAAGGGTTTATATATCTCCTTTGAAAGACAAGGTTTTTTCGATTTCCTTCGAAAAACAAGGTTTTTCGTACTCTTTCGAAAGACAAGGTTTTATTTGTGCTTAATTTAGTCTCCGGTTGTGCGGGATTCTTATTGATTTTGGCTCGGATTCAGGTTACAGAACTAGTACAAGAATTCAGTTTCTCACAAAATTGTGAAGCGACGACGAATCCACTCAAAAAGTTGTATGAGACAACGAATCGAGAATATGCTGAATTGTTATATTTATTTATTTGGATTCTTAGTCCTTCCCCGATTAATTCTTGTTTGATTTTGTTAAATTCGTTTTCATTATCGTTTGTTGTCAATTGTAGATGTCGTATGACTTATATTAGTGAAATTTAGTGTCCTTTAGGAATTCTATTTTAAACAAATATATTACTCTCTCCGTCCCCTTTTGATAGTCTCTTATGGACATTTTTCACGACAATTAATAAACACAAATAAGAATAGTTAAATTACATTGAAAAAATAAATTGATATTGGGTATGCAAAAAAGTAGAGAGAGAAAGTAATAAAAGTACATGGGAAAACAAAATTTATATGGAAAAGTTAAATTTGAACAAATATTGTTGCAAATTGGAGGAAATTTTGGCAAAAAATTAATATTAATTATTTTCGAAAAAAGTAAATGGGGTGAACATTTTGGGACTAAAATTTGTCCATAAGGGAGTATCAAAAGGGGACGGAGGGAGTATAATGTTATATGGAAGAGACCAAAGCCTTAAATGATCTTTATCAAATTTTATAATTAGATTTATTTATTTATTTGAGGGAATTATAATTAGAAGCTAGTTAGGAAATTTGATTCCCTGAGAGTGAGGGATAACTCAAATGGTTAAAGCTTCTTTTCTGATTTCAGAAGATAATGGAATTGATTCTCACCCTCGCCCGTGTCGCTCTCTAAATACAGAAAAAGGAAATTTGATTCCCTTATACCGAGAAGACAAATTTCTAACAATTAATCTACTATAATAAATAAATACACATTTTTGTGCGCGACAAGGGTTACTTATAGGGTGTCACTTGTTTGGTCAGGGTTACTTGTAAGGTGTTATTGGTTTTGGTCTGGGTTATTTATAGAGTGTTACTGGTTTTGGTAAAGGGTTACTTGTAGAGTGTTACCGGTTTGGTATGGGGGTTTGGTCTGGGGTTACTTGTAGGTGCCACAGAGAATACAACTAACCCCAGAATACAAATAACCCCTACTAGTAGCCCCAAAATACAAGTATTACTTACAAATAACCCCTGATAAAACCAGAAATTTCATACAAGTAACCCTTCCGCACCATATAGCCTGCAACACTGAAAAATTTCTAATAAATAAATCTATGACATTAGGAAAAGGAGTAAAGAATAAATCAAACGAGGGAGGACTAAATTAATGTAGAAGATGACTTTTCCACATAAAATAATAAACCTATAATACTATAATAAATACACAGCAAAAGTGGCAACTAAAAAATCTATTCAAAAGAAGTGACCAGCAAAAGTGTGCATAGAATGTCGTCATTTGCGAAATAGATAAATTGATTAGAGAAATTCCTACCGTTTACCTACACGCACTACTACTCTAATAGGGGTATCAATCGAGTAAATGGTTTGCATTTTTTTACAAAATTTTACAATGAATTATAATATTAATTTTACAATGAATTATAATATTAACTAGCCTTTTGACCCGTTCGATGCACGGGTTGTTACTTGGATAAATTATTTTCAAATAAAGGTATACTTTTCATAAGTTGAAACTTTTGATATAGTATATGAAGTAATTGTTTCATTGCTAAAACTTTTAAAAAAAAATGGTTAGAGTAGAACTTTGAAAGAAGATGAAGGATTAGGTATATATACATGAAGATTGCGGGATATAAAATAACGTATTAGTTTAAGTTATATTTTAAGTGTAGGAAATGAAAAGACAATTTTGATTATAATTCATATATTTTATGTAATATGTACAAATTATGGTGGAAATGAAACACTTCATTTTCTTTCTTTAATTTTCAAGCTATAGAATGCATAAAGACTTGAACAAATAAATTAAATTAAGAGAGGTGACATGTGGCATATGGGATAATGAGTGACTTGTAATGACATGTGTCATGTGGAAAATATGTGGTTTGTGTTTTTAAATACTAACTAAGTATAGAGTATAGATAGATTTTGAATGAAATTAAAAAAGTTTGAATCTTGATTTATACCTAGAATTGAACCCCAAATCAGAATTAGCCCAAAGAGTGTACCAAGTGTAACACCAAAAAAAAGTAAAAGATAATAGAATAATATTTTTTACACGATAACAAAAGATGTGGAAAATATGTGAACATTAATTTATACAATCTGAATTACATGAGATCATGAGTTGGTGAAATTTTTTTTTAAGAAAGTGAATCACAATTATATAAAGTAATGAATATTTTATTAGGGAGTGCATGAATAAAAAAATAAAAAAAGTTTTGGAGGGAGTGGACTGCTATTTGTCGCTCCCATGTTACATACTAACGCTCCCATTTTGACTTGAATGGACAAATATGCCCTTTATGCACTTTGTGTTATAAAAAGGACTTTGTTCTCCATATGGAAACAATTTATGAAACGGTCCCCTCAAATAATTACGACGTTACGATCCCGAGTCCACTAAATCGGTCCCCACGACCTTAAAACCAAATCAGTCCCCACGGCCACCTTAATTCCTTATTTTTTTTTAAAAAAATAATCATAAAATTTTCCGACGGGTCTTGGGTCATGGACGACGAGTGGAACATTCGTACGCCGGAGAATGCGTCGGAACATTCTGTAAGTTTTTTGTTTTTTTTGTTATTATTTTCTGGAAATAGGACATCCGCCTAAAAAATTCGGATGTCCCATGGTGGATCCCCCTAAAATTTTTGGATCCACCACGAAACATCCGGAAATTTCAAGCGGAAGTAGGGATCTGCCTGAAAATTCCGGATGTTCCATGAATTTCCGTATCCACCATGGGACATCCGGAATTTTCAGGTGGATGTCCCTTTTCCAGTTTTTATTTTTATTTTTTTTATGTTAATTAAATTAAGTTATTTTTTTTTTTCGTGGGCTCGTGATTGTTGTTGTGATTAAATTTTTGATAATTAATGTAATTATTATTGTTTTGTATTAATACGATTATTAGTAATATGATTATTTTTTGTAACAATATTATTATTGTTGTTGTTGTTAATGTTGTTGTTGTTGTTAATGTTGTTGTTGTTGTTGTTGTTGTTGTTGTTGTTGTTAATTAGTAGAAATATAATTTTATAAATATAGTTTTATGAATATTATTATTATATTAATTAGTAATTATTAATGTCAGCCTGTCAGGGTATTATTGTTTTGTATTTGTTGTTATAACTGTTAATTATATAATAATAATAATTATTATTATTATTATTATTATTATTATTATTATTATCATTATTGTTTTGTATTTTTAGTTTTTACATTATTATTATTATTATTATTATTATTATTATTATTGTTATTATTATTAGTAAATTTTAATTATTGTTAGAGTATTTTTATTTTGTAATTGTTGTTATTATTGTTGTTGTTGTTGGTGGTGATTATTGTTGTTGCTATTATGATTGTTATTAGTAATATTAGTTATTAATGTTAATAATATTAATAGTTGTAATATTGTTTCATAAATATTATTATTAATATTAAAAAAATAACATAATGACATAAACCATGTTTTGTTTAATTTGTATAGGATATGGAATCTGAAGACGGCGGTGACGGTGTGAATTATAGTGGGAATTTTGTCACGGATACGTTATTTCCAACATTTGACGATGTAGTTATATGGGCTGATGGTGTTTCCATAAATTTGGGATTTATTTTGGTGAAATCGTCTTATAACAAAACCAGAGACGGTCGGCCGTATCGGTATTTGCGATGTGATCGGTCACGGAGGAGCAAGCCGAGAGATTTGAAGAACGCGATACGGAAGGACACAAAAACCAAAGCTAATGGTTATCCATTCTACATCAAGATATATTATGAAGTTAACACCGACAGTTGGAAGATAATTGCGAAAAATGATCACATCAGGACACATAACCACCCAATGATTGTGTACCAAGAGGGTCACTGTAAAGTGAGCGGATTGAGTCTGGGTGCAAAACAGGTTGTGCGTGACATGACAAAGTCCAAGGTTGCGCCCCGTAACATCATGGAAAGTATTGCAGAGCAATTTCCTGATGATCATCCAAACATCCGACACATTTACAATTGCCTGAAGGAAGAGGAGTTGTTCAACAATTTCTTCATCTGGCGAGAGAGAGTAAGTACATTTACTGGGTCATGACCGATGATCTCGACGTTTTGCAACATGCATTTATGGTGCACCCGATCATGGTCAACATACTCTGCACATACCCACATGTCATAGGCATGGATTTTACTTACAAGACCAATCGACATGGCATGCCTTTCTTTGAGGTAGTAGGTGTGACACCGACAAACCAGAATTTTCAAGTTGGATATGTTTTCATGCGCGACGAGTGCACGGCTAGCTATCGGTGGGTGTTGCAGAGATTAAGGGAGTTGATTGGGTTTGATAAAGAGCCATCTGTATTTATTTCAGACTGTGATCTTGGGCTATGTGCGGCTTTGAGAGAAGTGTTTCCAGGGACGTCACATTTACTCTATACATGGCACATCAACAGAGATGTTGAGGCTAATGTGACGAAGATGTTCGGAAACAAGAAGGTTGGTGCCAGTTTTAAAAATGGCAAATGGTACAAAATTGTGAATGCAACAACCCAGGCGGAGTATGATCATGCTCTAGCTACCACGAAAGTGAGGTGGGCAAGATATCCCGCAGTGATTCAGTATGTTGAGAGAACATGACTTTGTCATAAGGAGAAATTTGTGACATATTGGACGAACCAGATTCGTCACTTTCGTAACGCCACCAAATGTAGAGTTGAGAGCCAACATTCAGCGGTGAAAACTTGGTTTGAATCATCAACAGGTTAGTTGTTTTACTTTATTAGTTATAGTCGTTATTGCGTAATTGTAATTATAATAAAAAATTAAATTGTATTTACTAATTTG